GATACAGACCTGTGTGTCTCTTCCACTCTGTCCCTTCAGTAACACCCCAAATTCTACCACCGCCATGTGCCTCCCACAACAGGGCTATGGAACTGAGAATTCTGGTTAAAACTGGAGTCCCTCTTCTAGGACTGCCAGAACTAGTAAGTGCCCAAACTTGGTGGAGTTTGGAAAAGCACATTTTAAGAACATTTTTAAAACATTGCTTTCGAAAGCTATGGTCCAAACAGGTAAAAATTGTCCTAGCTCCGGCCCCAAGCAATCTTCCACCATGTTCCAGAAACACTCTTACACGCTTTCGCAGCCATCCTCCTCAGCTCTCTTCCTCCCTCCCTTCCTCTTTGTTTCAGGGAGGCCTGCTTTCCTTTGCTTGTCTGAGACCAATTTGGGACATTAGCAGTGAAAAGCTACATACATCAGAGCATGGTGTATTAAAAGCACCAGCTCAGTCTGCCTACTGGATCAGCTTTGAAACATGATCTGTTATACTGTGTGTGGGGATCCTTTGTCCTGTACTTCAGGCTAAAGCTGGGGTGGGGGTTAAATGAGAATGCTGGATTTAAATACAATTATACACCCACATCAGAAAGCAGCTTCCTCCACCCCCATAAATGGCAGCAAAGAATGGCTGTAGTGACTGGAAGGCCTGAATTGGAGGAAGAAATATATACACAACTGCAGGTAAGTCCATTTGCCCTAGTTTGTATGCTTCTTGTGATTTATCAATGGATATTCTGCCCAATACCAGCTACTGTGGTATCATGGGTGTTAACACCAAAGATTTCGAAGCAAATAGCAGCTTATCTTATGGACCTCTCCTTCCCAACTAACAAGGAAAGAACTGGGAAGCAGGACCGACGAAGAGAAAGCAAACTCTCTGTGTGGAACATCATATTTTCATGTCCAAAAATAAATAAATAAAAAAAACGGACCCTCAAAGAGAACTTTGGATGGTATTAAAAATAGATTGGAATGGCCATTCGTCTTGGTTTCCATTTGTGACCAAATAACCACACACACACACAAAAAAGTATGTATGGTCATAAGCGGCTTATGGCAGGCTCATGGGGTAGTGTTCTCCTCTCCCCCCCACTTTGGGCCAAGATGTTTGCCTACATCATGTGTCACACATGCAAGCTTGACAGTTCAACAAGCATGGCCTGGATTCCATAGACACACATCTGTTTCAATACTTTGCTGTTAGGAAGCAAGGTACATACTGTATGTGAAAACTGGGTTCTCAAGAACAGACACAACAACAAGGTGTAATGGAAGCCTGCAGCCACTTTATTTTTGGGCAGACCCATTCCAAATGACTGCAAACCATGGGGACTAAATCTGCACCTGTAGCAGAGACTAGTAGGTAGGTACTGTACTAATAGATGCCCTTTCACAGGTTCTTTCCAGACCTCTGCCTTTTAAAAAAATCAGTGAGAGATCAAGTTAATTTATTCTGTGTAAAGATGCACAGAAATGAAATCTCGGCATTAGTGCTTCCCCTCCCCATTTTGATTTCTATTCCTGAGGAAAATGTGTGATACGAAATTCAGCTACAAAAATCTGAAAAACATGTTGAATAGTTCGCTTTTCACTTCTTCTACAGTAATACTCCAGAACCAAAACAGCCTCAAAAGGATGACTGTTTGGAAATATTTTTTAATCAATGAATGAAGCTATATTAAGTATAAATATCATAATCTATATTTGTTAAAATTTAATATACTCACTGTAATTCTTCAAGTATCTATTGTGCAGTTTGCTATTTTTGTTTGACTGAACATAAGAACTTAAAAATTTGCCTAGTAGTCTTATCCCCAACTGATTAAAATTTGCCCTCTGCAATTTCAGTTGACCTTCAGCAGTTAATCAACTAAACCTCGAGCTGACTTCTCTATCAATTAACGTAAGCAAAGCCTGGAGCCTTGTCTTGTGTCTGTTATTTAGCAGTGCTTGAAACTGAGGAAAAACCGCTTCACAATTCATGCAGCTATTAGTTTTGCCACTGCAGGCCTGCTGTTAATTCTAACATTTTGCTAGGGCACCATACAATTTGCAAACAGGGGACTCATCTCTCTAAGCTTATTCTTCATATTACATATTACGGCGAGCGCATGGGTAACAGAGCCATGGCAGTGGCAACTCCCTGATGCACTCCCCAATGGTTTGGAAACGGGCATTGTTTCCAAAGCCCCAGTCGTGGTTCACACGTTAGCAGTGGCAAACACCAGAACGGGCAAGAAAAGCGTGGAGAAAGGGCATGGGCAAAGCATAAAAATCAGCAGAGGTCTGGAAGGTTACTTTTCGTACTAGAATTCCCATAATCTTCCTGACACACAATCAGAGTTAGTGTCAAAAAAAGTTATTTTTCCAAGCGTGGTGACCAGTCATCAGACACCATTTTCTGTTCCGGTTTTCCTCATTTTGGAAGGTGGAAGGCATTTTGGAAGGCCTGGGAGACAACCTTATGAGCCACATAGCACAGGGTGCTCCTTCTTTTGCTACGCCTACACCGGTAAAGAAGGGCTTTTCATCTCTTGTCCGTTAATAATTCCCGGACCTGGAAAAATCAAGTACCATTTATCAAGAAAGAACTGGCTTCAGCCTGTCATGGTTTGGCTTAATACTAGAGGGAACCATAGGGTTTTTATGATGGGAGGAGTCAAAATTAAGGGGAAGCTGAACTTCAAAACAGGAATCTCATTTAAAAAAAAAAAAAAAGACATTGAAGAAAGCCAAACCCCAATTTCAACCTCAATTGAAGTGTAACCTGCTCAGATCCTGGCATGTTCCCAGTTTCCAAGAAGATCCTTATTGTTTCCAACCTTCTTTTTATGCTGGGAATTCTGGATTTCCTCCGTATCCAGTTGTTCAAAAGAAACATGGCTGTGGAGGATTCTTCCAAAATGGAGGCCAGATTCTCTAGGAGTGCAAATCAGTGGCACAAAAGGAGTGCTTGCGCCAGAATAGAAATTAGCCCCAAGTTGCTTCAGGCCAAACCGAACATAACACAGCAGGAAGAGTGTTGCACTCCCATCTCCTGACATTCCCCCCCCCCCAAAAAAAAACCCTCAAAACTTTAAAGACATTTATATTTACTTTCTCCAAGAAGGCCGACAATCACTTTGGGGAACGGAGTGAGATCACAATCAAAGAAGCAACCCGGTAAAAAAGAGATGAAGCCCCCCCCCTGAAGCACAGCTGCCCAAAAATAATGGTGGGGGGGCACGATGACAGCTATTAATTATTTTTTAAAAATTTAGGAGGCCTGATCATGGACCTCTTATATAATGTCTGTCTGGGCTCTTAAAAGAATGAAAGAATGTTCTAGAGAGAACAGAGACAGCCTGACCAGGAGACAAAACACCAGAGATTCGTCAAAGAAGATAAAGATCTGAAGTATCAGGCTCCCAAATGTGCAAATTTTTTTCCACATAAGTCTGATGCAAATTTTGGTAGTTTAATTCATCCTTTAATTTATTTAGTGGTTTAGCTGGCTGTTTGGATCCCCACCCCCACCCCACCAAAATGGATCGGATTGATTGAATTTGAGAAAAGTAGTCCGGCCCTTCCACGAAACAAAGCAAGTTGGGTGTAGTTCAGAAGCATAATTTGTTCCTCTGTGAGATGCCCTCATCAACCGCTGGGCACACCGTAAATGCCACACCAGTCTACTATCAACAAGCATGCCTGGGCTTCAAGAATGGAAAGTATGAGAGGGAGTGGCCCTGAAATTTGCAAAGAACTGTCGTTCCCAGCAGAAGCGATTTTGCGTGGAAAAACAGAGAAGTGAACCAACAGGGAAAGAATGAATCATTCCCTCAATGGGTGTGAGCCAGGCGGAGTGTGACTGGTGCCATTTTCAGGGTACCACATTGCTGGAAGTGCCCCCACCCAAAAAACTGATGTCTCATCATGTTCCAATTGTCCTTATATAACTCTGCTGTGGGTGGTTACACAACCTCAAAGGAGACTCAACAGAGGGGGAAACCACTCAACAATCCCAGCCAAAAATATGTGTGTGTGTGTGTGTATTCATTTCCATGCTTCACCAGAAAAGTTCTATTCTTTTGCCTATACCCTGCGCTCCAAAGGCAATGAGGGCCAAGTCCTTTTCTCGCCTGCTAGTTATTTATTTTTAACAACATACCAATTCTTCTCATTCCATCCCATTGAGCATATATGCCAGAGAAATTAGTAGACTGCTAGGGAAAGTGACATGCCTGAGAACCAATAAACTACAGGAAAAGCACTGCCCTCTCAAACTGTGCCCAAGCGGGAACACTACCAAATTTTGCTGGAACAAATTTAATGGAAAATTGTAGCATAGCCATGCTGACTCCCATAAACTAGAATACTGTAGTCCTAAAGGACAATCCTTTTATTTCACACCTGCTTTGGGTGAGTATCTCAACCTAATGAAAATGAAGGAGCACTTGACCATGGTCAGGAGGCCTGTTGTAAAAATTGAGCAGGTGGCTTATTTTGACCACTGCTGATGTTGGGTTCAACATATCTATGTGCATGCCTAACAGTCAAAGCAGCAGTACGTTACAGGAGCTCAGTGAGACACCAGAGTTGGCGTCTATTAAGGATCCAAAAAGCAAGAACCTATTTCAACCAACTTTGATGTTTCTACTGAATATCAGCAGGGCAGTTGGCAGAGGAGTGGAGTGCCAGGCACGGATCTCAGCTTCATCAACCTCCTACCAGAGAAAGACCCCCCCCCGCCTGTGACAGACTCCTGCCTGTGCCAGCAAGTCTCACATGTGGCCCCCCACTATAAAAATTCTTCCAAACTCCCCCAAGCTGTTTTCTGAATTATAGTTCTTAAAGAAAGTGAGTGATTTATTATTCAAAATCCCTTCATTATGAAACCAAACACCATCGAAGTACATTTTGCCCGCCATGGAGAGTAACTTCTAGACGCCACACAATTCATGCTGAGACATATATACACAAACAAAATTGCACACACACACACAAAAATTATTGACACTTACCTAGCAATTAGTAAATTCCTTGCAGAGAGAAGTCTTAACCCACATGTCTTTTGCTGTATAATTCCACCTTGAAAGAGAAAGAAAGAAAGAAAGAAAGAAAGAAAGAAAGAAAGAAAGAAAGAAAGAAAGAAAGAAAGAAAGTTAAAAGAGAGTGCAAGAGAGGTGCTTGTTGACGGGAGGTGGGGGTAAGAAAGAGAGAGAGAGAGAGAGATCATAGCCTGTCTCCAGCTGCCAAGAGTATGAGCTGGGAACTTACCACCTAAAGTCACTGACTTTTACTCAAAGAAGGGAAATCCTTTTTAAAACCTTGGCCCCTCCCAGGCCAGTAATTACGAAGGCAGACAGACGGATGAGACAGGACGTAGGAGGGGCCTCTTTACTGTAATGTGTGGAGTAGGAACAGCACCCTTTCATGTCTGTGAAGTGGCAAGCCAACCTTCCCCGCTCCATGGCATTTAGGGCTAAGAGGCAGTCAGTGTTTACGGAGTCAAAACGATTCTGCTGCACTAGAAGAGGAGGGTTAGCCAGGGTTATTCTGGGACAAAAGGAGATGGTGGATTCCTAGAACAGGGCCTGTGGTGTTTGGAGCCAGATTCCCTATCTACAGAGGACTGAATGATGTTATGTTTTTCTCTCTTCTTCGGGGCACACTTATGTTCTGAATCCAGAAATTGTGATTTTAAAAATCTGAGGTGGCATGCTTTTCCATACACTCTCTCTGTGCAGGGAAAGCGCCCCAAAGGAAGACCACAGCTGCGATACAAGGATATCTGCAAGCGGGTCTGAAGGCCTTAGAAATGGACCTCGACAGATGGGAAACCCTGACATATGAGCATTCAACCTGGAGGCAGGCAGTGCATCACGGCCTCTCCCAATTTGAAGAGACCCTTGTCCAGCAGGCCGAGGCAAAGGGGCAGTCATGAAAGTAGCAGAATCAGGGAGCTGGACAGGGGACAGACTGTATTTGTCTTCAGCGTGGAAGGGATAGATACTCTCGAATTGGCCTTCTCAGCCTTACTAGATGCTGTTCCAAGTCCTCTATTCAGAGCACGTTACCATAGGCTCTCGAGACTGAAGTATGCCTAATCATCTCTGGCCCTACTATAAGGTAGAGCGAGTAATCTGCCTCAGGCAAGCAGATGCTGGGGTGCAGCAGAGGTAGCCCCTAAGCTATCCTTCCTTAGAATCCTGCCCACTACCAAAAACTAACCTTCTTAGGTGAATGTGCTGATGGATGGATTCTGTCCCATTCCCAGCACTGAAGGTTCAACTAGCAGGCCAATCAGCTTCCTTACAAGGTACTGTCTGTTTTTTGCACTTTCTTATAGTAATCATAGCCTCTCTTCTAGAGCAGCTTCTCACAGAGCAATACAATTGTGCCTGACATGTATAGCAAACTGGTGAAGGCTCAGAGATCTTCAAGGTCTCCAACACTCTTGTGGGTCAAGAAATCATTCCTTAAACAAATCTTTGCATGCTGATAGTCAGAGATCAAGGACAGTCTTCATTATTCTGTCGTGCCATTTGCAAGGACCCATGTCTTTTGGTAAAGAAGACCATTCAGTCATGCAGGCATTAAAAAGGAACACAGCCAAAGTACTATGCAACTGTAAGAACTAAAACTTCAACCTTTTTTGGACCAGTGAAATGTGAATAGTTGGTTCATCTCTAGACAATTGGTTTGTGAATTTTGCCCATCATGCGAGTGCATTGTCAATGTTCCTTTTCCTGTTTCACCTCATTTGCCATATTTTGCTTGTTTTCTGCTGACAAGAAGATTTGGTCAAGCCAAGAATTCCTACCAAGGTCTCTGCACTGCACAAATGGAGAAGGCTAGATCCAACTGAAATATCCTTGTGCTGGTGAACCTGCAGAGGGTAGTTTCCTCCCCAGTCTTCTGTAAATTGTACAAAACCAGGGCCCATTCAGTGGTATTTACTGTTTGTGCATTTTCCAAGTCCTTAAGACACAAAGGCAGAGTGTTTTCTGGGCTCAGCACAGGGAGGAAGACATGGTAAAGTGTTTGGTGAATCAATTGTGAGTACTGTACTGGTTGAAGCAAACGTAACAAAGAATCTTACAGCACCTGTAAAACTAACAAGCTGTATTTGACATAAGCTTTCAGGGGGTACAACCCATTTTTTCCAGCTCTTCCTTGGCTTGGAATGCAAGGAGTCTATAGTGTTTGTTCAGAAGCAGCTTGGAAAACAATGAAGGGTCATTTGGGTCAAAAGTTCCCAGAATCTTTCAGCCAGCCATTCTAGCTCCTAGATTTGGTCAGAGGCAGCAAGAACAAAGCCAGATCCAGACTTGAGGAACTGGACTCAAAAGCACACGGAAGGGGTCTTGATCTGCATGGGGGCAACGTACATGGCTTCCCCTCATCTCCACATGGCAGTGACCAAATGGAGCTAGTGCCAGTTGATCGTTTTTGCTGGCACAGTGACAAGCACACTGTAGTCCAATATTCCCAGCACCTCAATGTAAATTCGGAAGGCTTTCCAGGGTGTGGTGAGCTGTGATCTTGACGAATTCATTAGAAAAATAATAATGTAAAAAAAAAAAACAATGGGGGAGGGGAGCAGAGAATCAACTCGTTTTGTTTCCACAATGACCATGTTCAACAAAGAATTGCCCTCTGAGCCAGTCCTTCATATAAGGAGGCCTCTGTTCTTTTATCTCTAGGATAAATAAACATTTTATTTCCAAGGAAAGGAGGCTAAATATTTATCAGCTTGATGAGATTCAAACTGTGCAATTACTATGCAGGTGTTGTTAGCTCAACCTGACTCACAAGTAACTGGTGATGAAGGTTGGAGTCCAGCATCCATACCTGAATCTACTCTTGAGTGATTCCGTTCATTCCGCTTGCTCAGGTGACCCAATGCAATGAATGGATGACAAACAACAGGCAGCCATACAGAAATGGCTTGACCACAAAATCAAACTAGAGAGCATCCTAAGGTGCCAAAAAAGGGACGCCCAACTCAGAAACTCCCTTGCACTTTTGAAGGAGCTGTAGGGAGGCAGGGTAGCTTCACAGGTCCTCAGGCATCCAGGGAGCATAAGCCAGAGTCTTCTGATCATCACTGGCTGCCAGAGCACTTGCTAAATTGCAAAGGGGAGGATTTAAACAGCGACAGACTGAAAAACAGAAATGAAAGAACAATACAACTATATGTTAATCCACCTATTGTAGCAAAAATATAAAAATTGCCTAGTGAAATGTTGGGAAGTATAGGTCAGTGAAAGGCAAAAGATCTGCGGGGGAATTTTCAACAACTACACAAAATTACAATCACCAGGATTTTTTGTGAAGGCTATGAATATTTATGAGGGGAATCTGGCTGAGGTATAGAAATGGGACATACTGCTTGATATTTCCTCATCCAAATGATGCACATCTTATCTTGATCATCACCCATGAAACTCCATGAGAAAGCAGTTGTTTTCCACGCAACAAGAAACAAACAGCAAACTCTGTTGTCATAAAGCCATGTCGATTCCCAGCATATTTTAAATGCTTGTTTTCCTTAGCAGAAAAGTCACAGGGCAATGGTGGGCATGTTTAATGTCTCTGTTCAATCAGTTTGGTAATAGGCCCATCCCTTTGATATATGGCTATGCATTGGATTGGACTTTGGGAGGGGGACACACAGTTGAGTGTTCCCACAAGTGAAAACCTGGGACCATCTGCTATGTAGGATATAAACGGGATGAAGTAAACAATGTACGAAGAGTACTGCGCATTCTCCCTTTAAAAAACAACAAATCAAGATATGACAGATAAGAGGTTGGTCAAATGTGGCCTTCCAGATTGTTCTGGACAGCAAGTCCTGTATATCCCCCGTTAATGGTGATGCTGCTATGGCAATCCGACAACATCTCGAGGGCTACACTTTGCCCACTCCTGAATTTTACCAGAGGTCCACCCTGCTCAGACCAACATTCTTTGCAAGAATCTCAGCAATGAATAGGAAATTAGTGGAAACAAGCCAGTAGTCCACCAGTGGACTAATCTACCTTCTGCCCATCCTTTGCTAATAGAGTTTATGTGGCTTGAACTCTTCTTCAAAAATTGGAGAAACACCCCCCCCTCCATTGTTCCCAGAAGAAATACATAATTCTTCCTTTGACTGCCCCAAGCCTTAGCCCTCTTCTTCCAACAGGTGTGGCCATTTTGACCTGAACAGGAAAACTGTTGGTGCCAAGATGTATTCCTGCTCAGGGTTTGGTTTTCCAACCCACAGGAACACCTCCCATGCCTATTGTGTTTTCCACTTTGTATCACGATGGCAGGACATTCAGAAATTGGAAATGAAAAAGTTAACTGCTTGGGTTTCCCCCCCCTGCTAGCTGCACCCTTTAGGGATATGACAATTAAAGAATGACAGATTGTCTCACTGGTTACGGCTGGCTCCAAACGCATAATTTATTTTTAAAAATTGCTCTCTTGTCCAGCTGACTGTAATATTATGGGAGCTGTAGTCTGAAAAAGCAACTTCACCAAACTCCGGATTAAGGGATTATTTAACACTGCTCCTCTCCGTGGCGGTTTTGTTATGAAATACACTAGCAAGGCATGGACAACCCAGTCAGAGGTTTACATTTCTATTAAGAGCCAAAACAGATGTGGATGAAACATGTTCAGTGTGCATAAGTAAAGTGGAGCATGTGTCTTAGGTTTTGAAGAAAGGGTTTATTTTTGGACTGAGCAAAATGTCCACCCTCCTCCTTCTCCCACTTTATCTTCCTGTTCTGTATCAATTTAGGCCTGTCTCTTTGTTTTTCCTGAGCTCACACAGGGTGGCCATGTGTCCCTCTTTGCAAAAGAAGGTCCTCTGTTAAGGACTCATCTCCTGTTAACTAGGCATCCTCTGTTTGAAGGGTTGTCGATGTGAAGTCCAGTTTAAAGATCAAGAACCTTGGGAAGTAAAAGTGGGGGCTTTAAAATTGGCCATCAAGCGGGTTGCCCGGGATGCAGGTTGGGGCAGTTCTAACAGTCATAATTCTTACTCTAGGGAAGTGCATTGTATATAACATATGGTAATTATTTATATATGTGCATATATATATACATATAGATTAGCATATATACATTTTTATTAAAACCAGGACTCTGTTTCATCTTTGTATTTTTTCCGGGTGTGTGTGCGCGCGCGCCTCACTTCTCTCCCCCTCCCCCTGTGATCTGTATGTGGCATCTCCAAGCCATGTTTTAGTACCAGATTGGTGAGAAATGTACCTGAAATCACAAAATGCAAAAAGGTAACTTGGGGGAAGAAGGAGGTGCCGATCTCCTTACCTGCATC